GGTGTGGATTGTGGGCGCTGCAGTCCCCTTCCTCCCTTGCCACTCACCTCCGCCAGGGGGCGCCCTCCCTCCGTCCTCAGCATCCCAGGCCGCTCATGGAGCCGATGCGGTCCAGCTTGAGGCCGAAGCATCCTTTGGCCGCCGCCGCCGCCGCTGCCGCCGCCGCCTTCTTTCCGCCCGAGGCTCCCTTGAAGCGCCTGCCTCCTCCTCCTCTTTCTCTTTCTCTTTCTCTTTCTCTTTCTCCGTGGGGGTCCACCCGAGCCCAGCCCCCCCGGGAGCGCTTGGCCTCCGTCCGCAGGTCCCGCATCAGCCGCGAAGAGGACGCGGAGGACGCGGAGGACGGTGCGGAGCCCCCCTTGCCTTTCTCCCGCGACGATCCCGCTTTGGTGCCTCTTCCTCCTCCTCCTCCTACTGCAGGTCCCAGCAGCTCCGCCATCTCCGCCCTTCCTGCTGCTGCTGCTGCTGCTGCTGCTCCCCGATCGGAGGGGCCCTGGGGAGGGAGAAAGGACTCAGACTGCAAGGCCCAGCATCCCCTGACACAGACCCAAGGAAGAAGGGGAGCTCTCCCACAGCCCCTGGGAGGGATGCTGCAAGAAGGCGCACCCCGTGGGGCTTCCTTTTCTTTTCTATTCTTTCCGGCACTGCAGCTCCCATCATCCCCTTCTCCAGCTGACCGGGGGGATTCTGAGAATTGCCATCCCAAAGAAGGGGACATTTCCCCATATCCTGGGAGAGGAGCATTAGAAGGGAGGCTGGAATGGTGCATCTGGTGGTGAGTTGTACTGAAACTTCCATCATCCCCTTCCCCAGCGGAGGGGGAGTCTAGGAGTTAATGTTCCCCTCCAATAGGGGTTTTTCCAGGCCTTGGGAGAAGAAAGAAGCAGTTTGAAGACTGCTGGTGTGTGTGTGTGCATGGGAGGAGGGAGGATTTTTTGTACTACAATTCCCATAATCCCCTTCCCCACCTGACGGGGGGATTCTGAGCGCTGCAGTCCCAAAGAAGATGGACTTTCCTACCCTTTGCCCTGGGAGAGGGGTCTTGAAGGGATGACGGACCGCGCAGAATGGTGTGACGGTCGGCTTTTTGTCACTGCATCTCCCATCATCCCCTTCCCCAGTGGACGAGAGGAGATTCTAGGAGTTAATACCTCCCCCAAAGGAGCTTTTCCAGGCCCTAGGAGAGGAGGATTACAAGCGAAGCCGGAGGGTGCGTGTGTTGGGGGGCTTTTTTGCACTGCAACGCCCAGCATCCCCTTCCCCAGCGCTCGAGGGGGCAGGATTCTGAGCGTTGCAGTCCAAAACAAGTGCACAGAGCAGCATCGGAAAGGATGCCGGAGGAGACAGGAACTGGTTAGGGGTCTTTTTCCACTACAACTCCCACCATCCCCTTCCCAGCTGCTGAGAGATTAATCTAGGAGTTCATGTCCCCTCGCAAAAAGAGATCTGAAAAAAGGGGAGCTAGAACACCTTCTTTTCTTGGACTGCCGCTCCCAGAATCCCCTCTCCAGCGGA